TATATATATATATATATACAGTATGTATGTATACGACTATGTGGATAGTTGGATCTGTGAGAGATCGGGGTGAGTGGGATTCGATGGGTGGGAGAGAGAGACTCTTTTAAGCAGTTTGGAACTCGGTGGTGGGTCCGTTAGTGTGACAGAGGAGGGGATGGATAGATGTGGATAGATAGATAGATAGATGGAGTGAAGAGTATTTATATATATATATATGAATGTGTTTGTTGCAGAGTTCATGTCATTTTAATTGTTACTCTTACTGTGCTGTTGTAATTCTTTTGCGGTTCATTCGTTGGCGAGTAACAAATGGGAAAACGGTTTTATACGAAAGAGATAGAGAGAGATAGAGAGGAAATGGTAAGATGATAATGATATGTATATATACAATGAATATAATGAGAATGTGTCTGTTGAGATAGTGAGAAGTTGGAAAAAAAAAAGGGGGCTTCGGATGCTGCCAAAATGCCAATACTGGGAATAAAAAAAACTATAATATTAATACTCATTGAAATGGTACGGAATGTTTTCTTTTTTTTAAAAAAAATGTCTTCTCGGATGCACGCGTTACCACATCACGCCAGTATTTTCATTTCCAGGGTGAGTGAATGCGAGAGGAAGAGAAATATAGACAAAATACAAAACAACAAACATTATATTTGATCAACTTGTATGCACTGTAATATACACCCTCTTGCAAATTGCACAAACACACACACACACACACTATATATATGTATAACTGGTTGCTGCCTTGAATCCTTCCTGATGATGATGCTTATTATTATGATGATGGTGTTAATAAAATAAATAAAAACGAAAAACGACTCCGGACACAAGAGTACCTAATACGCCGAGACATTCACACATACACAAGGTCGGATTTATCACGAACGCGTGTGTCTGTTAAGGAAAAAAAAGGAACAACAATTCTAAAGAAAGGGTCGATCTGCTAGGTGAAAAGGTCTGACAGAGTGAACACACACGTAGAAGGAAAGGAAAGCAAGGGTAAATAATTAAAACAACAACAAAAACAAATAAGGACTATTTAGCCACACAGTTAGACTAAAAGAAAAGGACCAATCGACGAATCTATTTTTACGACAACCGAAAGGAAGGAGAAAAAAATAAAATAAAAAAAAAAAGGATACGCCTCTTCAAGCTGCAATACCAGAAATTGCAAGAGAACCGTTTCAACAACATAAAAAGAAAAAAACAACAACAACAACTAAACAGTTTAAAAAAGAAAACATCATGCCCCCGTACACCATTCAAGTGCGAGGACTCCCGGAAGAGACAAATGTGGACGCTGTTCGCGACTTCTTTAGCCGTGTGGGCGAGGTAACGGAATGTAACGTAAACTCCACAGCGGCAACTCTCTCCTTCGAGAATGAGGACGACTTTAACGAGGCTCTTAACATGAACGGCATAGAGTTTGAGAATGGTGCCATTCTTCAAGTGACCAAAGACACCGAGGCAGATCAGCAGGAGCAGCAGCAGCAGCAGCAGCAGCAATCAAACGAAGATCAACAACAACAGCAACAGCAACAACCACAAGGTGATGGAGAACAGGATCAACAAGAGCGGGAAAAGGCATATAATGGAGGAGGGGAATCCAGAGAAGAACGCAAAGATGCCGGAGATGAGGGAGATGCCGCCGCACGTGACTCCCGCAAACGTTTCCGCGAAGAATTTAAAGTGGCCGTTCGTCATCTTGCTGAGAACACAACGGAGCAGCAACTGCGTGAGTTATTCGAGCCCCTTGGTACCATCAGTGACTTCTTCCTAGAACCACGCCGCCGCTATGCGTTTGTTGGGTTTGACAATGCCGAATCTGTGGAATCCGCACTGCAGATGAGTGGCCGGGAGGTCAATGGAATGGCGATTGAGGTGGAGCGGAAGCGCAATGGCCCGCGGGAGAACGTTCTGGAGTCTAAAGTTGTGGTGAAGGGCCTGCCGCCCAACACAACAGAAGAGGCAATCCGCTCCTTCTTCGCCTCCGCTGGCGAGGTGGTGGATGTGTTCATTCACGAAAAGAAACAATTCGCCTTTGTTGGCTTCCCCGATGAGGAGTCGTGTGCGGCCGCCCTTCGCCTCAGCGGTGAGGAGTTGGATGGCACACGTGTGGAGATTGAAAGACGCCAACGTCAACGCTGCTTTAAGTGTAATAAAGAAGGACACGTCGCCCTGCAGTGCCGGGCGGTCGATCAAGTCTGCCGCAACTGCGGGAGGCCCGGACATCTCGCACGCGACTGCCGCAGCGCCGGCAACCACCACCACCCACGCGATTTCCGTCCACACCACAACAACCATCATCACAACTATCACCCACCACACGGCGGAAATAATAACAACAGCATGAGTGACAGGCGTGGACACTACTATGGCGGTGGCGGTATGAACAACCACAACAATGATCGCCGGGATTACAATAACACGATGGACAGACGGGATGACAGACGGGATGATCGCCGGGATTACTACAACGACCGCCGTCGTGCACGTTCCCGCTCAGACTCGTATGAACGTCATCACCGACGACGTGGAAGCCGCAGTCGCAGCCGCAGCCCAAAGCGTTTTGTTCGTGAACGTGAACGTGAACGTGACCGCAGCCGCAGCCCACCTCGCCGCCGCTACTAGAGAGAAACTAGAGGGGAATAAGTAAAAATAAAAAAAAAAATAAAAAAAAAAAATAAAAATGTTCTTTTATTTAATATAATCCGCATTATAGCTTAAACGCATTCTCCGACTCTCCTTACGCTTTTTATTCCCATTTCATTTTTTATGTTTTTTTTTATTTTCGCGTGATGCGAAAGAAACGGATTATCTTTTTGGGATAGATCGATCACAGAGAGAAAGAGAGCGAGAGAGAGAGAGATGGTGGAGAAAGAAAATGTATTACAATACGTTTAAGCATATATGTGCGTGTTCCTTTTTTTTTTTTTCTTCCTATTCGTGGAGTGAGCTTCTGTGTCTGCTTATGTGGTGATTATGATAATGTGATGATAAGGCAATTAAAAAGAAATAATCCAGGAGGAAATGAAACTGGTAATATGAGAAAAAAAAAAAAAAACGAACAGAATAAATAAAAAGAAAAGTTAATCTGCTTTCGTATATCTGTGAAAAGATTTTTCTCCTGGTAAGAGTGGGGACAGTGAGTGTTTGATATCATGCCCCTCGACTTTATGAAGGACATTATTAAACCACTTAAAATGCTATTGTGATGGTGTGAGGTGAAAAGCAATGACATTTCCTTACCCGATCGTTAGTCCTTTCTTTTTTTTCTCCCCTACTCTTTTTTTTTTTTTTGAATTTCCCCTATTCTTCTTCTTTTGTTTCGTTTGCTCTTCCTTTAAAAAAAAAACCCGTACGACGATCTCATATATCTTTGGAAGCAGCAGCGGCAGTATCTACCATGGTGCACTGTTAACAAGCTCCCCCCCCTTCTTCTTATGTTTACTGCTGCTTGCATCATCAAGCGGAAACAAAAAGGAAAGAGAGAGAGAGAGAGAGAAATGATTGAATATCAGAGAACAGATGTATCTTAGAGGGGGTACGAATGAAAACGGAAGGAGATAAACAAATAATTAAGGAGAGAAATAAAGAAAGTGGAAAGTAAGAAGAAAGAAAGAAAAAAGAAGTAACACACACCTATGAGCAGAAAAAGAAAGAAAGAGGGTGAAAGGCATATATATATATATATATATATA